CTCTCCTCCCCCTCCCCCCCCCCCCCCCCCCCTGTTCACACACTATACACGTGGGCAGTCATGCAGAGTATCGGAGCCCGACCCGATGGGACCAAGAGAAACACGCAAAGGAGCAATCAGGTTATCCCACATGGAGTTTGCCGGAGAGGTTCTGGCCACATGGCCTCGGGTGAGATGCAACAGCGCTAGCGCCGCCACAAGGATAATAGGCTAAGGGAAGGGAGGGGTCGAGTGCGCGTGGCCGAGGAGGGGGGAGAGAGAGAAAGAAAGAGTGGGATGTCGCGGCCTCTTTGAACCGGGTGTGATGCAAAAGACTCTTGAGGCGAGACGACACGGGCATGCCGTCGTCCCGAATTTGGTTCTGCACGGGGGTCGGCTTACATGTCTAGCTACATACATGCAACTTCCACGAGTCGAATTGGAAGGGGCCAGACCTTTTTCTCTGTTTTCGCGCGAGGGCGGTGGTGCTGTGGTGCTGTGGTGCTGTGGTGCTGTGGCTGCTGCGGGGAGGGACATGTTCGACTGTACATCCATATCTACTCTCAAGTACCTCTGTGTGTTCTGTGCATGTATGTGCTATACTGTACTGTGCTATACTGTACTTGGTCGGCAACGAGCAAGCACTCAAGCTCAAACAACGGGGCCTTTTGGACAGGTGGTTGACGGGATTGGGGGCCCGTTTCGGCACTCACCAGAGGGAGATTCTATTGGCCCAGACAGATGCTGTTCGTTCATTGTCAGGTGAGCGGTAGGTTCTGAGATGCCAACAGTAAACTGGGGGCGGCGCATGTGGACGGCAGGTCGGGTCCTTTATTTTCTCTTCTTGTTTCCGGGCTGCGGCGCGGTTTTTCTTTTTTGGGGGTGTGGCGATCGTCCATATAGCATCTGGCCGTGGCCGTGGGTAGTGGGGGCTATTTTTTTTTTTCCTCCTTCGGTAGGGTCCTTGTGCATATTTTTTTTCTTTCTCTTCCTTAGTTTCTGCCTCCCGGACGAGCACGACCTGCATGGCGTGGATGACAGGAAAAGGCGGGTAGCCGCTGTATATGCGGCCGTAAATTGCGGCCCAGCGTCGGGACCTGGCTTGAGAAGCATGTCATTTTTGTGCCATGTACGGGTTGTTTTTGTGGTGCGTGTGAGAAGCAGGGCGGGCGGTGCTGTGCCCCTCGACCGCACGAGAAATGCCGTCCCAAGTACCAGTCACAGGATTTGTGGGGGGTGGGAGCGTGTGTGTACCCTTGGGGTGCTACGTAGGGCAAGGGAAGGGGGCGGTGGGCGGGTGGGCGGGTGGGCTGGTTGATGCTGTAGGCAGGCTGGCACAGGTGAGAGGGAGAGAGAGAGAGAGAAGAAAAAAAAATACAGAGAGCGCGCATGCAGCCAACGAACAAGCATGGCAGACACATGCAATGCACGCGCAGGGCAGCCGGGGGCCCGCCGCGCCAGACCGAAGACTTGGAGCAGCAGCCCTCTGGCGCGTTTCCAATGCTGCACAACCTGTTTGCTGCTCCCGCCCAGGCTGCACCAGGGCTAGGCGGCAGGTCGGCGGCGCAGGCGGAGGGGGTGTGCGTGTGTTTGTGTGTGTGGTGTGGTGTGTGTTGTTGGTTTCTTCCCCCCGCCTCCTTGGGGGTTGTTTCTTTGTTGTTTCTTTTTGAGCCCCTTGGAGGAGGCTCGCTCACATCTGCACATCTTGCCCCGCCGTCATTCGTCATCATCAGGATACAAGCAATAGATGGACCATGACATCCGCGATGCATCTGTTGATGCATCTGTCGATTTCCACACATCTTGTTCTCGCTTGCCCCGAGCGATGGAGGTAGGTATCCGTACCTGCGTGGGGCGACCGAGATGGATGGATTCATTTGTAGTGAGAGAGGGGTCATCCGGTCACTTTTTTTCTTGTCGTTTGACGGGAACCAACAACAAATGATCCTCGCATCAGCAACGGTGACTGCAACGACGATACAAGCCGCAACCCTGGCGGCGGTGGGCAAAGAGGGGGCGGAGGGGAAGGGAGGGAGGCGTCGGTCTGGTTGATGGCTGCTTGGTGGCTGACAGACAGCTTCACTTTTTTTCTTTTCTTCCGACGCCCTCATCCTCGACCAGACGGAATCGGCTGGCTGAAATGCCAAGGCTGCCTCCACCCTCCCTTTCGGATGGGCCCCGGGCACGTCCGTGGCCTTTCAGAGGGCGTCTGTTGCCGCCGCTCGGGGGGGCGTGAAGAGCCCGCCTCGACATTTCTGCAGCACGGATGCTTAGCCTCTAAGCCAGGGAGCCAGGATCTTTTTGGACCCAGGTCACATCCGCAATGCGCCCTCGCAGCTCGCCCGCGTTGGGGTCCCAACAGCAAGCAGCAGCAGCAGCAGCAGCAGCAGCAGCAGCATCAGTACACAGTAGAAGCGCGCAAGAGGGGGAACAAAGGCTCCGAACACCGACCGACCGACTGAGCGAGGGACCAAGGCCAGACCGGAAAAGACTAGCCCATGACTCTCCCGAAACGGACCCCGGCATGGGTGGAAAGGAAACAGGCCAGGCGGCGCTGCACATATCGATGATGATTATCAATCCGGACGGACGGGAATCGAGCTTGAAGCATTGACTTCGATTCTTTGCTCCGTTTTGGACAGACGCGATGCAGCCGGGTCTGGACTGGACAGGCATGGAGTGAACTTGTGCTGCAGGCAGGTGGGTCCCATCAAATCAGGTACCCCGACCCACACCTCCATCCCGCCCCGACGGCGGATGGGCCGTGCGCCCATCGTTGCCTCACCCTTTCGGTTTTTGCCCTTTGTGCCCTTGCTTGCTTGGTTGCTGCTTCCATCCATGCTGCTGCTTGCTGCTTGCTGCTGCTACTCTCTCCCCCCCGCCCCAGCTTGGCCCGTTTTCATTTGCGCCTTGTATTGCATCCTGATGCACGCTGGTATTGCGATCAATGCCCGCCCTGCCGCCGCCAACGATTTTCGCTAGCGATCGACAACCCGCCTGCGCCTTGGCGGGGACCTGGCCTGCCAGCAGCGGCGGGGTTTGGGTTTGAGACGCGAGGACCAAGAAGGGAGAGGGGGATGGACGAAAAAGCCCGCTCGGACAAAGCTGGGGGGGAGGGCGGGCAGTGGCTAGCGCTCTATTTACCCGCCTGTTTGCTCGGACCTGGTAGGAGTGCCTCCTTCGGCACATTCCCTGTTGTAACTCTTCTCTTAGCCTCGTCACGAAAACGGCCCTCTCTTCTTCCACTTTCACAACCAACCGCGCCCACAAACACGGCGGCGAGCCGCTGTCTGTCCAGAAGGACCAGGGCCACTGTCAGCACAGATGGGTCCGCGAACGGAGCTTCTGGTCGACAGCCTTGGCTTTGGCTTTCGTGCCCCCTACTAGCATAGCTTCAAAATGCCAGGGCCCGGTGGCTTGCTATCCTTGAAGGCAACCGCCAACCGTTACCACATCCGCGCAACCCGCCCAATTCTTCGCTAAGCGCTAGGCCAGATCCAGAGAGGAACTGGATGCTCTGCTCGGCAGTATTTGGCCCTTCGGAACCATGGAGACGATTTTTCCCCTTTCCTTTTATTTTTCTCGTCTCCTTTTCCCCACCTGGGCTCCTCCCCATCCTCTGTCGGGCATGGTTCACGCAGCGCCCCTAAACCCAAGTGGCCATAGCCGGTGTATGGATCTTGTGCTATGCGCGATGGGCTGCAGCCTCCAGAATATGGAAGAAGCCGTCCTTTCCCTCGTCGCCCCCATGATTCCACGCCCAGTAGAAGCGCGAGAACAGCAGGCGGAGTGGTGCGGTGCCTCTAGTCCGCTACTTGGGCAACTCGGCCCTGTTGCTAGTTGATAGATAAGTAGGAGGTACCAGGTAATCACCGATCCCCAAGATTTCATAAACCTTGCCAGGTACGAATCGAGATGCAACCAACCCCAGAGCCCCCGTTCTGCCATGTCCAAAGGGGGTATGTGCATCCCATCCCTACCTGGCAGGCCTGCCCAACTGGGCGTCGAAGGGAGAGGGCGATACGGGGAACCTTGCTTGGCGACCCCTGGAGGCCAAGCTTTCGTCTCTCTCGCTCACTATTTCCTGATGGGGCTCGCAAATCGACCCTTGTGCCAGTTTTTTTTTATTGTTTTTTTCGTCCCGTCTTCGCTGGGGATGCCACTCGTATCCCTTGCCTTGCCGGATCCTGCTCGGGTGCGCGGCAAGGCGGCTGGATATGGGACAAATAGGTGGTGCCTGACCACACCCCGGTGAGGGGCCACGGGGGGTAGTAACAATGCACAGGCCACACCTGAAAGATGGGGATGTGCATATTGTGTTGTATCGGACGACCGTTACATTTGGGAGGTTGTGATATTTATTCCCCTTCCCGTATCATCCGCGTATAAGCTGGGATTGTGTGTTAAGCGCGCCAAAAAAGAGAATTGGCAGGCCTCGGGGATATCAAAAGAAATGAAATAAAAGCGGGCAGGCAAGAAAGAAAAAGCAAAGTTGGAGGATGAAGGGGGAAAAAAGCAAGGAGGAAAGGACAAGTTTTGCTTGCACTGATGATCGCCGACCTGAGAGCATCAGCGCTGCGGTACGGTCCAGCCCGCGAAGTCGCCCGCGAGTTGCTGGCCTAGATCCGCGGGCTTTTTTAGTCATGTTTATTTTTACTTGTTGCCGGCTCTCTCCCTTAATTTTCTTTTTACGGGGTTTACATTTCCTTTTTTCTCTCCATCGGTCACGAGAATGATAAATCCCTATCGGCGTGAATTGTGCTTTTTTTCTTTTTTTCGTCTTCTTTCTGTCTCTTTCATATCTGTTGATAGGCGTCATAATGTTTATTTATCCTCTTTGAACGTTTCATGCATGGAGCACCCTCAAAACATGGATGACGGTGAAAGTCGCCGTCTGCCGAGCCAAGGCTTGCCTGTCCTGTCTGCATCGACCCCAACTCAACCCCATTACTGTAGGGACCCAGCACTGCCAATCGAGCACGGGCGGGGCGGGAGAGGGACGTGCCAGAAGGTGGAACGGTTCATGTGTTGCTGATGATGTTGTCGGCGGCGCATCGCAGCAGCAAGCAAAGCACAGGGGCGGCGTCTGCAACCGAACACGCCCTTCCCCTTGTCCCTCCCTCACCACGCTCCCGCCACGCAGGCCGCCAGCCCAGCGGCCAGCAGCAAGCAAGCAGGCAAGCAAGCAAGCAAGCAGCCCTCACACTCTCGGCCTGTGCTCCCCCATCTCCCCCCATGGCCGTGGGGCTAACCGCCTCTCGGTGCAGGCACGGGGGGTGGTGGTTGTTGCCAAGAATTTGAGGCCAAGCGACATGGCCCGCATGTGTTGCCTTCGGTAGCTGGTCCGTGTGCATTGACCTGATTTGGATGCCCACACACGCCGCAGACAAAGACACATGCGACACCCCCAGCCAACAACAAACAACGGCGAACAAACCGGTCTGGTAGCATCGAGGGCGGGCAAGGACACATGAGAATTTGATTTGATCTGGGTCGTGATATCCAATGCGCTCTGCCATCCCATCAACCTGGATCCCAGAAAGCGTACGTACGTACCTACAAGCTATCTTGCACTGCCACTATCTTGAGCCGTGGTCAACAAGGGTGTCGGTGGCTCCAGCTGCCAGGCACCTGAAGCAGCCATGTACCTAGATACGGATCATCTCGGCGAAGCCCTAGTGAGTCTCGAAAGGGAGAGCTCTCCGGTCCCGAGTGGCAGCCGTTGCTGAAGGGCGCCACGGAAAGAAGGCTTGCGCCGCCTATCGCGTCTCGCATTTCTCATGCTTGGTTGACTCTGCGCCTTTCCCATTTCTGCCAGCCGCCTTGTTTCTACTTTCTTTTTTTTTTTTTTTTTTTTCGTCCTCTTTGCTTCTGGCCTGCTTGACCGTGCCATCCATTCCCCATTCCCGTCACCTCAACCAGAAGCTGACTCCCCCAGACGTGTCGCCGAACGTTGTGCTGACCGGTTCGCGCCAAGCAACGCGAGTGCTAAAAAAGCAGACGACTGAGGATTGGAGGGCTTGTGTGGGAGGAGGAGCAAAAACGGGGGGCCGAATCAGCATAAAGAGAATAAAAATAACAATCAATAATCGTGGAGAGAAGAAGACTATCTTGGATGGATGCCATATGGATCGGATGACGGCTTTCTCGGCTGACCCTGCCCCTGGCTCGGCCTCTGCCCATTGGCTTCTGCCGCTTTCTGCCCTCCAGTCACTGCTCCCATCCCAATGAGGCCATTGCAGCTCAGCCCGGCCGGCGTGGACTTGCAAGGCCAGGCATCCTTGACAAGCCTACTGAGAGCATCGCCGTCTACGGCCTGTGGCGTGCGAAGAGAGTTGTCGCATGGAGATGGAAGGGGGGAGAAAGGGGCGTTCTGATGGCCGCCGTCGCGAAGCATGCATGGCCTTTTTTTTTTTGTCTTTTTTGGCCCGAGAGCCCCACTCCCCAACGCCAACCAACGGCTGGCTCTCTCCATCCCATCCTCCCATCCATGATTACCATGGCCATGCCCCAAATGGTCGGGGTACTTTGCGGCAGGTACCACGTCCACTGCCTGCGTCCATGAGCGACGAGAAAGTGGGTCTCGACCATCCATGGATCACACACAGGCTGGCCTGATGGCTCCTGCTTTCCCGTCCTTCCTGCCCGGCCTGCCTGCTTGCCATGCCTGCCCGCTGGGGGGGCAGCTCACCAGGGCCACCCCAGGACAAGGGAGGAAGGAACGATCACCACCACCATATGTTGTTCGCCCCTGTCGGATGGTACCAGACGGCGTCCGATACTCCATCCTAGGGTCGGCTCGGCCTGCTGCATCATTTCCCTTCGCCGGACAGGATGAGCGAGGTTTCCACGGAGCCCCGGACGCTCAGCAGCGCCAGCCCAGCCCAGCACAGGCCACAATGCGACTTGACCAGGGGGGGCGCGAAAACCACCACCAGGCTCTCTCGCTCTCTCTGTCTCTCTCCAGCCGGCCGGTGTGTGTCGCCGCTCCACCGTGAGGGTGTGTGGGCAGCGAAACAGGGCCCGACCTCGGTGCGCTCCAGACGCTCAATCAATAATCAATCAATCGGTCGCCGCTATCACACCAACAAGCGTGCAGCTTCAGTCGCCAGCCCATCGCCAGGCCCCCGCCTCGTGGTCTTGCCATGGCCGCCTCCCATCGGCGCCGTCGTGGTAGTTTAGATCTCTGTCGTCCACATCGACGCCCGCCCTGAGGTACATTGCATCGCTGGTGGACGCGCCTATCTAGGTATAGCTTCGGGTAGAGGGGGTAGTTCCATAGGTAGGAACGTACCAACCCAGGTGCTGGCTGACCTGGGCGGCTTGCCGGCTAGCAAGTTAAGCTCTCCATGATCCGGCTTTTTCCTCGAGCTACGGATCGACCTCTCTTTCTCTGCCATATGACATGCCGTTCTTTGCTTCGCAGTTCCTCCACACACTCTGGCGAACGACAGCTCGTCCACCCCCACCAGACAAGAAAAAAAAAATATGAAAAATTCAAAAGGAATCCACCTCGTGCTCTGTCACCTCCAGCGGTCGTCCTGACCCTAAAATCCGACAGCACCCAACCCTTACTAACCCGTGTTATTGAGTGGTGTGCAAAAGATTGTGTGTCAATGTCCAGCGTCCAATCCCGTGGCTGCATTGCTCCATCCCTGCCACTCCCTTGACCCCTGCCGGTACCTTATCCTGTGTACCTCCTAACAGGGGATCACACACACTCGCACACCCCCCCCCCTCCGCTCGCTTTCTCTCGTCCTGCCCCCTCTCCTTCCAAGTGGGGAGCATGTCGTCTGCCATCCCAGTCTCCTCCCGACTCCGTCAACCCTCGTCGGGTACTTAGGTCCCATGTTAGGCACGCCTGGCCTTTGTGTCCGTCGTCTACAGCCTCCCAAGGGCCCACCATCCTCCACATGCCTGCTGCCGTGCGTGGGATTTATCATCTCGAGGGGGTCCCGCCTTGCCCAGTATCCCGAGTCTGCATTGCGGCGTCTGTTCCATGCAGCCGACCTTTTCATCGGTCGAATCGAGGCTCTTTTCCGCCTGCCGCCGTGGTAGATACTCGATATCGATATACTCCATCCCACCCGGCCCTTCCTCCTGCTTGTTGATCACCCGCCTGCACTTGATACCACCTGGCCTAGGCCCGGACATCCCCTCCATCTCGACTTGCTGCTGCTGCACACGGCCCGAGTAGGCAAGCAGATAGCCATAGCATCTTGTGCATGGGCCGAGGCTATGGTCTGCCCTGTCGCCTGCCTGCGTCGCCAACAAACTGATACAACTACATTGCCACGACCCGACCGGCCATAGCCTGGCTTTCCGCACCCATCTGATTTCCAGACTCTGGCCCAGGTCTCACCAGGACGGACCGGACAGACTGTGAAGGAGGCCCCGCGCACGCGAAGCCGCGCACGCGCGCGCGCGCAAGGCACACTGCCCCTTCGCCCGTCAGGTTTCCGGCCCCGACTGCTGGGAAGTGAGCTTGGTTACGGAGTCGTGAAAGCAAATCTGGCTGCCCCGTCTCTGTCGGCAACTGCCTGCCACTGCGCAATATGCATCACCAGGTTATTGGGACCACGGGCATGTCGCCCGAGGGACACATGTCCCCGGACCACAACGGCTTCGGCGGCGCCTCCAGCTCCGGCGCTGGCCAACACTGGGTCGACATGTCGTCGTATACTCAGCCGTCGCCCATGCCTGACTACAGCCATCATAGCTACGCCTTCGGCCTGGGCTCCATGCCCCATACGTTGCCGTCCGAGTCCATCGCGAACCGGATGCCTCCCCCTCCGCTGCCGCCACCGCCTCGCCCGGTCCAGCATCAACACCAGCACCAGCATCCGCACCAGAACCAGGGCCACCCGCATCTTCACCCGCTAATCATGCCGTCAAATCCGACCTGGCCGAGTCAACTGACGAATCCAGGCGGCATGGCACAGCCCACGAGCTACTCGGCACCTCCCGTCACTATGCCACCGCCCCTCGGGGTCCAGTTGAAGACATCAAAGATGCCAACGTCACACACCCCCACGACACCTCGGAAGACGCTCAACAACGAAATTCGCCGGGAAATGTGCAAGTTTGCCGAAGAGAATCCTCTCTTGAAGCAAACCGAGATAGGAAGTCGCTTTGGCGTCGAGCGAAGGTTAGTTTTGGGCTCTTGTTACTTACCCTTCCTGTGTCTAACCACGTCCGGTTTTCTTTCCCGTTGTTTCCCGTGGTTAGTTGTGGCTGTGCCCCTGCTCGACCACGGGCGATGGAGATGGACTATGGCATTGTTGTTCATGAATGATTTATGGAAATCTCCCTAACTTGCTCCTCACCTCTAGCACCGTCTCCAAGGTTCTGCGCAACAAGGACAAGTACCTGAACCCTGATGATCGAGCCGAGTCACCGATCAAGCGAACCTTCAAGGGGAAGTCGGCCGATGTTGAGAAGGCTCTCATCAACTGGTTTCGCAATACTGTGTCGCGGGGAGCGCCCGTGACTGACCAGGACATCAGGAATCAGGCCCGCTTCTTTTCCCAGACGGTAGCGGGCTCGTCTGATGGCTTGCTTAAACAGTTATCGACCTCAGCGGGTCTCAAGATGTTCAAACAAAAGAACGGGATTTCTAGCGGGCCGAAACTGCTACGGAGGGCCTCTGAAACCAACATCCCTCACAGCGCAGCGGCTGCTGGCTTAGGTCTTGGCGGAATGGCCTCAATGTCTCCAGCGTCCCCGCACCCTGCCGCCCAGCCCTCGCCAATCTCGGCCAACCCCGGAAAGAGTGATGACGAGGAAGGTGGCGGCAGCAGCCTCATGGACTTTACGTCGGATAGTGGTTCGTACAACCTACCCATGAAGTCGCTTTCTGCGGACTTGTTCCTTTTTTTTCTCTCCCGCGCTGGATCACGTAAAGTCCTCTTTTATCTAACATGGCATACCGCAGCAGACATGCGCCCAACAACATTCACCTTCTCGCCAGATCCAAATTCTGGCGGTGGCTTCCTAACTGATCCTGCCAGGGGCGAGATGCCGGGCAGCTCCAACTTTCAGCGGCCGCGGAGCCAGACGTTCCCGACACTCGACATCGAGCTGATGAACCAGTCGTCTCAGGCCGAGGACCCCCTTTCCCCCAAATACAATGCAGTTTCGACAGGCCCATCGTCGGCACTCGAGTCCCCGATGAACGAGATACTGGCCCAACCTTTTGCCATCGACACGACCGTGACGTCCCCTCACCTCCGCCGAAGTAGCAGCAATAGCAGCCTTGCCCAGCGCGCCAGCAGCACTCCGATAGGAAACGGCACCGCCCCGACCCCGACGAATGGGTCGTCTCCCAGCTCGCCGACGCAGGAAGATGCTCGCAGGGCGGCCGACACACTGCTGTCCTTTATCCAGCAAAATGCCGGGGCTCTGATAGACCACAACGACTACAACTACGTTCTACGCCTGACCGAGAAGCTGCGCCTACACCAATCCCAGATGGCCAAGTCGGGTACACCACAGGGCATGATGGGGGGCCTCTCACGCATCCCCGAGGGCGAGATGGAGATGGCGAGCGCGCCTCCAGTGTCCATGTCCATGGGCACGGTCAAGATGGAGCCGACAACCATGGCTACATGACCAAAGGGGGTGGCCCGAAGCTTCGTACCCCTTGACCGGCGCAGCCAGCAAGGGACCTGGAAGGGGTTTCCTTGGCCGCGCAACAGACACGATACCACTTGCATTTTTCACCCCTTTGTTTCAATGTTCCCACTGAATTTTTTTATTTGGTCATTGCATCATCCCCCGACAAGTCTCTCTTGTAATACACCCAATACATCCGGGCGCCCATGGCACCACGATACATAGACGCTCACGCACATACCCCCCCTCACCCCTCACCCCGAAGCGACTCTGGTCAGACCTGTTCCCACTGGAGCATTTTTTTTCCTTGAACAGTCTAGCTCCGGCATCATTTTCGGGCAAGAGTTCCTCCGCTCACGCGAACCCGCTGTCCTAACAGCAAAATATTGCTTATGTCTGCTGCCAGTTTTTGCTACAGCTCTTTTCTTTTTGGCATATTTTTTTTCTTTTTTTTCACGCATCCTGCTTCTCGGCCACTCCATTTCCTGACTGTCACTTTTCTCCACTGTATTCTTTCTTTCTTTTTCTTATACAAACTTTCGCCCTAGTATTGTCTGTCTGTCTGTCTGTCATGTTCTGATTTCCTGGGTCTCATCGCTGTTAACCCCCTACTATCATTTGGGGCCGGTTTTCTCCCCCGGCAAGCATTCGCCGGCCGGTGCATGAAGACCGCCGAGGTGCATATTCATGTTCTGCCTGTCGTACCTGGAATTGGAGGATTGCGGCAAGACACGGATAAGAGGGCTCTTGGCGCCTTAGGGCTTTCGAATGTCGTTGGTTGGATGGAATTCACTCGGATATTGGATTGGGGTTGAGGCATAAAGAAGCGGGTGGATAGGCTCGTGACTCGGAGAAACCGGGTTGGAATACAAAGCACAAACATTGTTTCGGCGTCAATTTCCCCCTACCCATCCCCACACAGGTGATGAAAAGTTGGAGCTGTGTGCCACGGGGTGTTTTTTCTTTCTTTATTCGTTATTCCTTCTTTTTGCTTCTTTTCTCTCTCCCCACCCTCATCTCAAAAACGTCGTCCCTTTTCGGCACCTGAGGGGGGTGTGGGCTGAAAAGTGTACATAGGTGAGCGCAACTGCCCCTCCTCGCAGCGGTGTGCGTCCCCTTGACTATGGGGCAAACGGTGAGTTTACAAGAGGACGGACGGCCAACCAACAAATGAGGCAGGGCGGCAGCCAAGCCGAAGCATCGGGCCAAAATGTGCCTGGTTTCGGCAGGACCTGGCCCTGGCCCTGGCCCTGGCCCCCCCTTCCCTCTCTCCCCACTGGCGATTCCATCATGTCTACACACAACAGCCAGCCAGCCATCCATCGAGGGCCCCCAACCGCCGGAGGAGTGGCGGAACCGACCCTCTAGAATCGAGGACGGAGCCCCGATGCGATATTTCCCGCCGGGGTCCGCACCTGGGCGGGTGGGCGTGCATACCCTGTCTGCCACTTGCCTACCTCTCATCCTCTCTTTTTCTTCCCTTCGTCGATGCTGGCATGATGCATGCACGATAGACAACCCAATGAACGCTTGTAAAGAGACGCAAAGACCCCCCCGCTGAGGGGGTGGATGATGATTCGTGGTCAGGCAGTGGGGAAAAAGGGGTCAGAGCGATTATTATCAAAATCCCGCTGGCGGCTGGTCTTCTGTGAAGCTGACGATTTTACTTGCTGAAGACGACATGCCGAGAAACCAAAAGGACCCCACGGAGCGGGATTAGAGGAGTGGGTAATGCTGTTAGAAAAGCGACAAGAGGAATAAAAAAAAAAAAAGAGAGGGTCTTGCGTCATGTGAGATTCCGAAAATGATGGGTCGACTTGACGACATGGTGGCCGCGGTTGAGGCCGCATAGCCGTGTGCAAGTCGATGGGGCGTGCCTTTTTTGTCGTGTTTTTGTGATTTTGCGTGTCCAAGGCCGGCTAGCTTGGGTTCTACTAGCTTAGTCTTTCGACCCAGAGGTCGACAACACCGCGGTCGGCCAGTTCGGGCATCAAGCGGACGAGCAGAAGCTCGAGGGCGGCATACATGAGGTGCTTGTTGCAGTAGGTGTCGCCAAACACGTCGAGGATCCCCGACTCGATCTCGGCCACGATTCGCTCGTCGTCGAGACGGGCGCCAGGGATGACGGCGGGGGGTCCACCAGCTGTGGTTCCGACGCGGCTAGTGCTCATATGATCAGCAGCAGCAGAGTTGCTAGCGCCGGTGAGATTAGACGCAGGCAGCTGGTGCTGTTGCTGGTGCTGCTGTGGGGACTTGGACGGTCTCGTCTGGCCATCGGGGCCACGGTCTGGCGGTGAGCCATCTCCTCCGGTACTCGGACCGGTCCGCAGCAGAGTTGAGGCCCCCATTCCAATTTGGGTCCCGCCGCTGTTGCTGTTGCTGCCAAAGTACAGTCTCGCTACGCCATTCGGAACCAGAGACCGAAGGGAGCTAGCGCACCTGCGTCTGAGCGCGAGCAGCTCCTGCTCGGATGAGGGCGGGAACAGGGACTGGGTGCCCATGGCATTGTTGGGGAAGATGGCGGCTCGCAGGGAGCGCAAGAGTGGGGGCAGCTTGGCCGGGTTCAGCAAATGGCGGGCGATGGTATGGGAGACGAGCCTAAAGTGGTCGCACCATGACGGTCAGCTCTGAGCATGAGGCAACGGCGGGTGTGTGAGGGTTGGCGAGAAGCGACTGGGCGTAAAAAAAAAAAGGAGCGACATGGGGGCGGTAGGGAGTCTCGGTTGAACAAAACGGGCATAGACTGTGGAACAAGAGCAACGTTGTGTGGGCACCAATGGATGCATCCCTGGAGCTCAGGCTCGGAAGAGATGGGGTGGAAAAGAGAAGCAGAGAAGCAGAGAAAAAGGATGGATGAGATGGAAAGCCAGGGGGAGCAAAGTGCTCGCCGCACACTGTGCAGAAACCTCGGGTTTCCCTATCTGCTCTGATTAGACACAGTGAGCAAATAGGAAGACGTGAATACGTTATGCGCAAGGGGCGGGGTGCAGGAGGACGGAATGGGATTCACAAGTGTGGGTGGTTGCTGGGGGAGGGGTTTATTGGTTGATGGTGGGAGTGGGTGGATGGGTGGTAACGAGGGCGACCATAGCAGTGCCGGTGGTGATGCCGGGCCAGGGCGACCTCTCGCTCTCCCCAAAGAACCGCGGCGCATGCGACTGCAGAAGTGCCGATCGGACGGAGAGAGGCCGGTAAGACGCAACGTCGTTCTTGCTACCGAGAACGGCCCAAGACCAGACCATGCCGTGTTTTCATGATGGATGAAGGTGCGGCGGCATGGCTGGCACGGACGTGGGGGATGCAGGGAACGAGGTAACCATGAACCACGCGGTGCTGACTGGCTCTTTCTCATGACGATGGACGACGGCGTTCGTTCGGGCAGGCCACACACGCACACACGCACGCACACACACACACACATACACCCACACAGGTAAGGTGATGGGTCTCGTCAGCGAACACCAGTCCGCCGTTGGAGGGCTGCAGGCCAAGGCCTGGCAAACCGTGGGAGGAACGGTCTCCTTCTTGACGGATCCCTGCAGGATGCTGCATGGGGCACAGGGGCCCCTGGCCCAGCCCGGCGCGTAAACGAGGCTCGCGGGTGGCCAGGCCAGGCCCGAGCCCCGCATCGAGCCTGGAGCAATGAAGCTGCAGCACCCGTCGGTCGCCCGCCCATTGGCCCGACGCCGGCTGGCTGCGTCGCACCTGGAGAGGAGGACGCCGCCGGTGCTTTCCCTTCCTGGCTCCATGCCGTGCCTGCTGGGGTACTCCACTGCAGGGGTGCTTGCTTCAGGCGACGATGTCGGCAGGCCTTTTGACCTCGAGCCAGCCAGCTTTTGGCTGCGGATTGGCGGGCGCGCATCTCGCGTCGCGAACCCCCGTGACATGTCATGTCATGTCATGCCAGGGCAGAATGGGAGCGCCATGGTAAAAAGAAGCAATTTAGAAGAGGGACGGCGGCGACATGTGAAGGTGGTCGTGACGGGATGACCATCTGTCTCTGGGGCCGAGTGATGGGGAGTGTGCATGAGCAAGCGAGTCGAGGGCTGCTGCGGACGAGTGAGAAAGAGGGTGGACTGGACGTGGGCGAGTGAGTGGTGTGCGGCCCACTAGGGAGACGAGAAGCGGCTTGCTTCGTCGAGCCAGCCACAGAGCAACTGTCACTGGGCGGCTCTTCCACCTCATCTCCACCCCTTCTCTACATCACCCGCCATGCCCGGACGCTGGCGAAACGAGATACGCACGAGGAGCAAGAGGGTGTGAAGGAAATGACCGCATAGACTGGGCTGGGGAGGAAGAAGGCGGGAAATTGCCATTAGAGCACATGAATGGATGAAACCGGGAGGTCCAGTGACCTGGGCTACATGCAGCTTCGCCTGCCGTGTATGCAGGAGGGCACTCACGATAGCCGAACTAGGAGGATGAGGATGGGGAGAGGGAGGGGGGAGGAGAAACAGGAGGGGCGTGAGAGGGACGGGGAGATGACGAGCTGCATGTTCTGTCCTACCTATCCACGGGGCCGTCGAGGCCGGCCAGCTGGCCAGGGCCCGTGATGGCCACCCACTGGGCCAGCGAGAGGCAGCCGCGGAGCCAGGGCATCCGAGCCTCCACCTCGAGCAGATTCGACGCTGCCGTCCAGATCCCGAAGACGGCCACGGGCACCTTGGTCCTGGGGTGCCGAGGCTGCGGCGCCTTGTCTGCTGTAGCTGGGGATATTGGCGTCTCCACCGCCCATGGCGCTGTGACTGCTCCTCCTTTGCGGCCGTGACTGGCCACGGCAACCCCCAAACGAGACGGGACCGAACGGTAGGTGGCCAGGGTCACGACAAGGGCACGGAGGAGGGCAAAGGCAAGGAACCCTGTGTGCACCATGGACCAAAATAGCTGCTGAAGCGACGCGGCATAGCCAGCCATCGTCGGCCTGGACTCTGGTGGGGTCGTGGTTGCTGCTGTTGGTGTAGTGGTCGTGGTTGGCGTTGGCGTCGCCGTTGAGCTCCTCGTCCGAGTTGGCGGCGGTGGTGGCCTCGCGTCCGAGGCGAGCGCAGGGGATGTGACAGCATCAGAGCTAGCCTTCTTCTCCTCCTGCTTCTTTCCCCGCGCCATCGACGCCATGATTTCCCAAATTAGCCACGGCTCCGACAGTTTCCTGGCGACCACTCCGCCGATGATTAGCTCGGAAAGGATCTGGCCAACCAGGGTCGTTAGACACGGGTTCTCAAGGTCCTCAGTGGGGAGCAGGACCGCTAGCACGCCCTCAGCGAGCAGCTGGCGATAGGCAGACTCGTTGGATGCCTGCTCCTCGGCGGCGGCGGCGTCCGAGGGGACTGGCGACAGGGCTGGGGCCGGCCACAACGAATGGTAGATATGGCGGGGGTTCGCATCGAGTGGGGGGCGCACTATTGGCCGGTGGGCGATGCGATATGCTAGCCAGGCAGGGACCGTCGGTCAGCCGTCTGGGCGGTTCATCCAGAACATGCATCTTGAAAAAACACTCATCACGGCCCAGGCCAAGCCAGCACACGCACCATCGATGTGCCGGCTCAATAGCTCGGGCAGCTCGTCAAGCAACAGGCTCTCCAGATCCACCTTCCTCAGCCGCTGCTCGAGGGCGCGGGTGCAGTGGGCGATGACCTGGACGATCTCGGCCACAAAGTCGTCGTCGGGCGTGATCTTGCCATACCAAGTCTGGACGAAGTCGCGCAGCACGATGGCGATGATGGCGTAGAGCTGGAGGTCGACGTCGTTGCGGCTGGTGAGGGGCGGCAGGAGGTCCTCGATGGGCGCCGGGGTGCGGCCCTTGTCGCCACCGCCCTGCTGCGGGCAGAGGGTGCGGCGGATGAGGAGGGTAGTCGCGCGCTCCGACAGGGGGTCTGACCCTGGCGCGGCTCGCGCAGCCGACCGACGCGGCTGCGGGGGGCCCTTGGGCCGCTGGTGAAGGGGTGTGGCGGCGTCCTGCTGGCCCGCGTGGCCCGACGGCGTGGTCGCCCCCCGGCTCTTGGCCCTGCTCGGGCCCGTCGACGCCAGAGACTCGGTGCTGGTGGTGGGCGCGGTCGGGGCCGTCTTCTTGAGCAGCGGCGTCGGCTCCCTTGGCGGCGGCGGCACTGGTGCTGCCCCAACAGTCGTCATGGCGGGCAGGCAGGCGGCCTGCTTGCTGCTCTGCTCAGATGACGCGAGGGACGGCGGGCATGTTTAGTTGACTGGCCGGCGACAGATGCTTGCTGCTGGGCGGCATCGACAGCGGCCGCGGCATTCGTATTCGTCGTGGGCGGTTGATGTTGGCCGTTGTTCAGTCGGCGAAGTGCATTTGATATTTGATGGGGAGAACTCATGTGGCGGCAAGGGCCATGGATTGAGTCAAGAATAGCACAGCGCAGGCCTTCCCACATGGTGGCGGGCAGTGGGTGTGGTGGGGCGGTCTGGGGGCGCTTAGGCCAACGCTTGGTCGACGTAGCCGTCGAGTCACGAATATGATTGGAAAATGCATTGATGTGCGCTGAATGATACCAACCAACGTGCACTAGCCAAAGCGACAAGGTCAAACCTAATTCATGTCTATTAGGTATCCAACTCTGCTAGAAAAAAACACAGCCAACGCATCAAGACTGTTCCTTGACCATCTTCCCCTTCTCATCCAGCTCCATCACCTGCATCTGGGCATGGCTGCCTTCGGTAGCGTGTGAATTCCGCCTCGCCTCAGACTGCCTCCGCGTCTGCCTCCGCTCAAGCGTCCACCGCCTCTCCAGCTCGTCGGCCTCCTCGACGGCCTCGTCCTCGTTGACAATCTCGTTGCTAGCCCGCATCCTCCTCAGCACCTCGGCCGCCTCGGCTGCGTACTTGCACTTGGTCCGGATGGACGCGCCGTACTTCCAGAACAGGAAAGGGAACGGCAGGCAGGCCAGGGCCAGGAAGGCCGGCACGGAGCTGGCCCAGTGGATGCCCAGGCTTTTGTACATTTCTGTTTCGGGAGCGAGGACACGGTTAGCACAGAGCATTCGAGGCAACGTATACGGCGTGCTCATGTTCATGCTCGACTTACGTGATGTGAACAGAGGGAAGGCGGCGCCAAAGAGCGAGCGCAAAACGCTGTTGGCGGCAAGTACAGATGCCGCGAAGACGACATACGAGTCGATCAGATAGTTCTGTCAAGTTGTGGCTTGTTAGTCGGCCGACCTGAAAACTGACGCACGCCCCGCGGACCAGAGAAAAAAGACTTACAAGTAGCGACAGGAACACCAGCACAAGGCCCGCGGCGAACACGCCCGACCCGATGATGGGGACGATGAAGTGCACCTCGGGGCCGTTGGTCCAGGCGAACCAGAACAGCCCGATGGGCAGCAGGGCCGAGCCGATGATGGCGGGCGGCAGACGGGCCTCTGGGGGCACGTCGCCGTCGCACTCCTTGACGAGCCTGGCATAGCGCCGGTTATCAAAGATGGCGTAGACGACAGAGAAGGACATGCCGACGGTGATGCCGATGAAGGCCAGGCCGCCCACGCCCACGCTCCACCCGCGGCCCTGCTGGAAGACGATGGGGAAGGCCGGGAACATCATGTACATGGTTCCGTACACGACGGCCATGTAGATGGTGGTCAGAAGGACGATGGGCTCGCGGAACAGCAGAACCCACGGGCGCGACAGGGACACCTTGAACCTGGCCATCATGGTCTGCTTGGGCTGGAGGGAGTCCATGCGCGAGACGTACACATTGCCGGTCAGCTTGGTGAGCTTGTCGGCCCGCTTGCGCAACAGCACCGGCGCATAAGTCTCGGGCACCCACAGCGAGACGGCGATCCAGAGGATGCCGGTGAAGGCCGCCATCAGGCCCGCCACCCAGCGCCAGCCGGCGGCCTGAGCCAGGAATCCGCCGGCGATGGGTCCTATCGAGGGCCCCAGGAACGGAGCCGCGGCAAATATGGCCGTCGCGAGACCGCGCTCGTCGGCCTCGAACATGTCGGCGAGGACACCGCCAGAGTTGGTCAGGGGCGACGACCCAAAGACGCCGGCGAAGAAGCGGAGGACGATCAGGCCCGTCATGCTGGGCGCCGCCACAGCCCCGCAGTTGAAGGCAGTCAGGGCGAAGTAGGTGAAGAAGAACAGGATCTGCCTGCCATAGAACTCTGTGGCACACGGGGAATGTCAGTTTCCGACCAGACAAGACCAGACGAGACCACTGGGGTGGGTCATGGGGACAAGGGATAAGACCTACCAGACAGCGGCGCCCAGAGCAGAGGGCCGACGGCGAAGCCAACAACGAACAGCGAGATGCCGAGGATGGTGACCTCGGGTGTGACGTGGAACTCGCGGATGAGGTCGACCACGCCGCCCGAGTAGGCGGAGCTCGCAAAGGCGACGGCCAAGCAGGCAAAGGCCTGGAGCATGGTGAAGCACCACTTCTTCCAGCGGGGATAGTTCTTGGCGTTGTGCGGATCGTCGGGCAGGAAGTCAACGATAAAAGGCGATTCCTCGGTGCCGCGGCCCTGGTATGTGTGGTTCAGGACCAGGGAGTTGACGCCAGCTGGGTCAGTCACGAGCTCCCAGTTTGAAAGCATCATCTCCTTGCGGCGGAGGGACTCGCTGTCCACCCCAGCTTCGGTTGCCGTGACGGACGACGCCGCCGAAGAGGCCGGTCTTGTGTCGGCCATGGCGTGATGTGAGGGCGCGCGATTGGGAAAATGGGGGGCCCAAGGAGAGTATCGGCCGTCCAGGGTAGGTTGACAAGCCCACGCGGAGGGAGGCAGGCGTGTAGGTACTCGGAAGCTGTTGGCGGAGAGAACGCTGCCGAGGCAAGGACATGAATGGAAGACGGCAGGCTGCAAGAGCACCTTTGTAGTCTTTGGTGTCGTTCTGTCGATGGCCTTGTCCGCTCGCTTAATGGCGTAATCTCTTCCAGCAAGGCGGGTGAGCGGGAGGGGAGGCAAGGGGCGCAATGGGGTATGGTAGCACGAACATGCATATTCTGCCATGCACCTGCGATATATACAGACCCATACGGACTCACGGCCTGCTGCTACCTAGTGTCCCCGTCATATTTCTCGGCCCCC